AGGAAGGGAACAACATTTACTGAGCACCTTCCATGTAGGGTGACTTATGTACATTTTCTCTTCAGCCTTGTGAGGCCCATATTATAGATGAAGGACAATAGCTAGTAAGAGGTGAAACAGGTTTTGTTTGTTTGTTTGTTTCTTTCTTTTTGCGGTATGCGGGCCCTCACTGTTGTGGCCTCTCCCGTTGCGGAGCACAGGCTCCAGACACGCAGGCTCAGCAGCCGTGGCTCACGGGCCCAGCCGCTCCGCGGCATGTGGGATCTTCCCAGACCAGGGCACAAACCTGTGTCCCCTGCATCGGCAGGCAAACTCCCAGCCACTGCGCCACCAGGGAAGCCCGAAACAGAGGTTTGAACTCAGAACTCTTGCCCTTTCTGTCTAGTCTCTCGAAGTAAGGATGGTTTCACTACCAGTCCCTCAAATTGCTACCACCCTCTCTTAACCTGGGAACTCGAAGCCTGATGCTTATATCACATTCTACATTTAGAGGTTGGCTTTAGCACTGAATTCCACTTGCCATCGCTTTTTCAAATGTAAGATAGAGATCCTATAAACATTGTTTGCTCACAGCAATCATTGGTGTAAGGAGTTACCCGGACTGACTTTCAGCTGAATTGTTCTTGAGCACTGGTTTTCAAAGTGTGGTCCCTAACCACCAGTGTGAACATCATTAGAAACTTGTTAAAAATGGCAGATTTTCACACCCAACCCAGATCTACTGAATCAGAATGCTTGGGGTGGAGCCCTACAAGCTATTTTTAAATAAGCACTCCAGATGACTCTGATGCACCCCAGTGCTTAAGCATGAACCAAGTGAACAAAAAGGATAGTTTTAAAAGCCTCTTTCCTGTGAATTAAATTGGAGCCTCTTGGGTAGATTTAGATCTTCCAACATGGCTGTTAACCCATCAGCAGTGGTTGACTGGAGAAATATGGGAAATGATATGCATTAAGTAGGACATTGTTTCAAATGGATGGATCTGTGGTGGATTCCTGAGTAAATTATTACTAGATTATTGACTCAAAATAACGTCAAGGTGTGCAATACTGAACACAGGGCTGCTTATTTTTTAGCAGGAGGTGGTAGTGATTTTCAATTAAGGGAGTTAATACTTTGCATTATTTTTCACAGTATTTTTATGTCATTTAAGATTTCTCATTTCTTCTTTGTGTGGTTGTGAATAATTAAAGCCAGATCTGCTTTATAGTTAGTTAGCAGAGCAGTTCATGATGCAAATGGAACTCGTAAGAGCACCTGGGTTTTGGAATGGTGTTGTAAACAGGCTTCTGTAATGGATTTTTGGATGGCATCAGTGAATTTTTAAAAATTTGAAGTCAGCCTTTGGGAGTTTAGCTACGGACCCTATGCTGAGTCAGTGGTACTGCAGGGAAACCAGTTACAGCTCTGTGTGTGCTAGCCTTCAGCTAGGTAAAACAGTTTTTGCATTTCTCCCTCTTTCTGAAATACAGTCAACCCTCTCCACTACCCCCAACACACGCACAAAGAAAACTGCTCATCTTTCAGTATGCAGTTCTTGTCATTTGGCTCTGTGGAGCCCTTCCTGAACTTTCAGCCTCCTGTGGAATCTATCACTCCTCTCTCCAGGCCCCAGCTACTCTGTACAGACTTCACTATAACACCTCAAGCACTTTAAATGATTGCACTTTTGCTTACATGCCTTTTTTCATTTACTGTGTCTATCTTGAGTACAGAGACTTTATACTTGAGTTGTTTTTATTGCTCTCACTTTAACTTCAGCTTCTATCACAGTACCTTGCACATAATAGGTTCTCAGTGTTTTTGATTAAATATAATAGAATTACAGCTGTTTGGGAAAGAGCTTTGCTGCATGCATGGATGATTATAAATGTCTGATTAGTCAAAGATGAGATTTTTTGGGGGGGGGGTAAAACTTATGACCCTGAAGGGTAGGCCACTCAAGAGATCAAACAACATAGGGGACTTTGTGACCTGGAGCCAGTGACAAAGTGTCACTTTGACCCCTGAGATGGGGCCTCTAGGAAAACTTGGGAATGATACTTGATGAAAAACTGAATTTCAACCTAAATAGTTTAATACTTCTGTGTTGTGTGTGGGCTCTTTACTTGGAACTCCCTGTGTTTGCTTCTTTCTGTACTAATCTCACTTTATTGGTTTGACAAACCTGTGAATTAGGAGGAATTGTTTTCTTACTTTACAGATGGGGAAACTGAGACAGTAAGATTTATATTTTGAAGTTTTAGTACAGCTATTAAGTACAAAATAAGCTACAAGGATATATTGTACAACACAGGGAATATAGCCAACATTTTATTATAACTACAAATGGAGTATAGCCTTTAAAAATTGTGAATCACTATATTGTACACATCACTTGTAGAATATTGTACATCAACTATACTTCAGTAAAAAAAAATAAAAATAAAGTTTTAGTAAGTTCATTATAAGACTAAAGGTCTTTATTGCCCTCTTTGGAATTTACTATGCCATCTGAGATGAAATTGTTAGGTAGATTCACAGAGTCACCCCAGTGAATCTGTAATTCAGAAATCCGAAAATAGCTCCATACAGATAGAACATTAGGAATATATTTGTATCAGCAGGGATGTAGAAATTAGATTCTTCTGAGAGATACACTAACTTATTGATTGATTAATGAACTGGTGATGTGCATCTTTAGTGATTTTTCTCATTCCTACACATTTCTCCTCCAGAGATTCTGATTGTTTCCTTTTATGTGGGTCCTTATCTTTAAGTATAGAGAACATCATATGTACTCTCAGAGATTTGTTTGCTTGTTTGTTCTTTTTTAAACCAAAAAAGAGCTATTGGCCCTTGTGCATCCTTGGAGCCCTTCACAAAGCTCTGTGTTTGGATTAACTGCCGACCCCGTGTGATATACAGAGCATCTGGCAGCTAGGATGGAATTTTCAGCTGTCTCTCTTTGTTATGTCCACAGAAGGAAATGTGAGTTTTATGTTACTACTCAGGCAGTGGTACATTCCTTTTTTGGTCCATGGGATCCACCAATCTGATTGTCGACTTATTTTCTGCCATTCCTGTCATCTTCTTGAACTAGTTAAAAGGCCAGAGGTGATCTTAACTTACCCTCATGACTCTGAATTCCTCTTTGGTCACTTCCTGCATTCTTAAATTCTACTTTGATTAAAGCTTATTAGGTTTTGCCAACATTGTCTGGTTCATCCTATCTTGTGTGGTTAAGGGATCCCAGGCAGCATAATATGAAGGACCTACTACTGTGGGTGTTTCTCATAGCCAGTGTCTCTTCTCCACAAATCCTCATTTTCCATATCTCCATACAATTGGTTCTTTTATCCGTGCCACATGTATGGGTATGATTATAGGTTGTCCATATCTTACTAGGTCTCAGAATTAGAAGTGTCTTCTTTATTATGAGACAAAAGTGGGCATTTTAAGAAATGGTGTGCTGAGATTCCAACTCCAGTCTTCCTGTTGATTATGGGGTTGTGGTCTTGATTTTTCATTTGCTGTAATGTATGTATATGCAGTAGAAGGCAGCAGAAATGCATATTGTATTAAAATAATCTAAGAGCCTCCATTTAAAAAAATTAATTTTTAATTGAAGTATAGTTGATTTACAGTGTTTCAGGTGTACATCAAAATGATTTAGTTATATGTATACATACATACATATACACATACATATATATACACACATATACATACTATGTATATTCTTTTTCGGATTCTTTGCCATTATAGGTTATTACAAGGTATTGAACATAGTTCCCTGGGCTATACAGTAGGTCCTTGTTGTTTATCTATTTTATGTATAGTAGTGTGTGCCTGTTAATCCCAAATTCCTGTTTTTTCCGCGCCCCTACCTCCCACCCCCTTCCCCTTTGGTAACCACAAGTTTGTTTTCCATGTCTGTGGAGCCTCCATTTATTGAGTACCTTCTGGTACTTGCCCACTATGCTATATGTCCTTTCATTTTCTCATTTAATCACGCTAACAACCTCAACTTTTGTCTTTTGTATGTTAAAAGGTGAGGAAATAGGGCTAGAGCACTTCAGCCAGTTGGCTGAGGTCGTGCATCTAGTAAAGGATAGAGTCGGAGTTCACACTAGCCTTTCTTA